CTACTGCTACTGCTACTTCTTCTACTACTACTTCTACTGCTGCTGCCGCCGCTGCTGCTACTACTACTACTACTACTACTACTACTACCAATGATAACAATACTGACAATAACTAATACCACTAGGGGACGGCGGCGACTACGACTAGACGATGACGATTGCCACCTCATGGATCTCTGGATCTGTTGGTTGGAAGAGCACAGCTCGTGCTGAAACTACCCGAGCTCAGGCTCAGTTCGTTCCGGGCATGAGGATCATCTCCTTCAAGGCCAACTTCGCGTGCTTCTGCTTCCTGGACTCGAAGGTGATGCAAAAAAGCTGGGTGTGGAGTTTAGCGGGGGCTTAATGTTCGGCCTCCAAAGACGAACGACATAAATCGCTGGATCTAAGAATAGCGCAAGCCAAAACAAACACAACCACAACCCGGCAACATCCAAACTCACATTCCCCAGCAGCCATGAACAGACTGTGCTACTGAACGCGGCGATAACCCCAAACCACCCCAGCCCCAGGTCAAATCCTGAACCTTTCTTTGTCGTCTATATTCTATTCGACACCCCAACCCTGAACCCCGAGTCGACCTCATAGTTAGACCTACTCTGGAAGCCTAGACCCCTAACTAAATTTGGCATTCCTATTTTGGATACTGCCCCGCGCAGATAGAGGCACACGCTTAGAATCTGCTAAAGCAGTGCGGGCGTTTGGGGGGCACGTAGGGGGCTGTTCGGTGGAAGGCAGCAGAATTCCAATCGAGGCGCAAGAAGGAACGCGTCCGTCTTGTGTCTTGTAGCTGTACATGCTTTGAGCATCGCGATTACGAACTTCTTCATTACGGCAAATTCTCGCCTACATCTCACCAAAGATACAAACCACACACCGCAGCATCTCCGTCTGAGATTTTCCACGCCCAGGCTAACTCATGACAATTTCTACCGCCGTACGGAACCTCTTGCACGGCCTGGCTTTGCAAGTTCGAGATTGAAAGTTCGCGGCTCATACGGCTCTCCACGCGCGACTGACTGCTCTACTTTGACTTCGTAAGGACAGAGACAAACGACAGGGCGGTAACACATCTTGTAACGCTGCGGAGTATGATAACGATACTCGTGACTGCTGTGACATGTCACCACGTCATGTGGTCGTACGTGACCTCGCCCACCGACGAGTTTGGCCCAAAGAGGGCTGTCACGATTCCTGGTGTTTGCAACAACTTTGATGAAGATCCACAAGCCGGACGAAACTCTCGGAGCGATCTGTTTCACACGCGCTATCTGTGGGCGAGTTCGATGCCCGTGCTGAGCAGGGGCATATCTACAAACGACCCTCTCAAATTTCATTGAGCTAAACCTCGAATCCTGCGTGGCGGTAGCATTCCTGGCAGGTTTCATGGGACACATTGAAGCTGATCAGGTTTTGGCGGAATACACTGAGGGCTGCTTCGTAAACCATTTCATCCAAGTCGTCATGCCAGCCCATCAGTACCGAGGTGTCGTAGTCCGTGTCTGCGGATTTTCCATCAGAGCTTGGTCGCGTATCCACAAAATTACTAGCTTCGCAGGCTCCCCCAAACATTTTGTGAAAGAGGCAGATTGACAAGTCCCACTCCTCAGTGATGCCAACGAAAGCAAAGCCTTCTCGTACCCTGCGAGCTGCCTCCTCCGCCTGGTCCCGAGTCGTGCTCGAACGGCTTGGATGCAGTGTTTGTGTGACCGGATGCTCAATCACAATCTGGTAGGCCATACCGCCCTTCCACGATTCGGCGAAGTCCAGCAAATTTCGCTTGGGCACGTCCGATCCGAAATATGTGCAATTCTGGATTCGCAAGTCTTCCTGCAGGTAGTCGGCATAGTCTATGGCAGCTAAATTGTTGTCATCATCATGGTAGCCGGAAAGTATGCGCTGGTCAGGATCACGGAACATCCCCATCAGCTTCCCACGCTGCGCAGAGTAGTTGCTTATCGTAGGATGCTTCTCATAAATCGGATGCTCTGGGCATGCAAACGCGGCAGGGTCACAAGCGTTGGGACAAACAGCAGCATTCCATTTCATCAGCCAGCAGTCTCCGAGTAAGTCATGACCCAGGGTCCTGTTGCTCGTGCCGCGGCAGACGCCCGGCAAATGGATCATTGCATTGATGAAGGAGCTGCCAGCCTTGGGAAAATGCAACCAAGATATTGGCTCTGCCTGGTGCAGCCGTTCTTCGGGACTTTGGCTGTGCAGTTGGGACAGGACGAGCTTTTGCTGCAGAAGCGTAATGACAGCCCTCTCCTCCGGCGGCTCTGAGCTCTCGCCATGCCCGACACCAAGGCCCAAGAAAGAAAGAGTGAGTAAAAAATGGAGGAATTGTTCGCCGCACATGGTGTGGACCACCACGGCTGCTTCTAAAACTGATACGGTGATACGGTTCGGTCTTGAGCTTCTGGGCAGCAGAGACAGCGTGCCCAGATCACGACATTCCCCCCACCCTACCCTTGATAGCCGTAACAACGAGTACAACGGCAAAAAGGTGCTCTGAAATCAGTCGGGTCTCTTGGACTGCAGAAATTTCCGGGAGAAATCGCTCAAAGAGCTGGCTTCCAAGCTCTGGGCCTTATGTCACACAGGGCTTTTCAAAGGGAGTTTCATAGGTGCAATGTCATGGACTTAACGGTTTCAGTAGGGCTTCGTAGGAGTTACATCGACACTTAGGAAGGTTCTGTACAGGTTTTACGACGGTTTCATAGTTGTGCAGGTGGGTTTTGCAACGGTTTCATAGCTTCCTATTTGAGGTTTCTACAAGTCGCGCGCAAGGGTGTTCACGGGCTTTGGGCAGCTTGTTGTGAAAGCTTTCTACCCGTTTGCGGCTTTGATAGGGTTTCATCGGGCATTTTAAGCGAACATACTGAGGACATACTAGCTCACTCGGGTTAACGGTTTACAAGTGAAGGATGTATGGCGTGCAGAAACTTCTGGTAGTTAGACGCTGCAAAAGAAACTGAGGTTTTGCAACTAAAGGAGACAAGTTGTGCTAATGCCCAACTGGAATGCTTCTCGCGATCACACTCCGTCCCCTCCCGGATACAATGCTAATTTACTGAAGGATCACCCTAAAGCACGATGCCTGAACCCTAGATTCCCTCGCCTGCCGGTTGCCACAGTCAGAACGCCGAAGCCAGAGAAGATCCCCAGCCCAAGCCCGTCGGATCTCTCTTGAAGAACTAGGAAGGAACTAGGAAGTCACGACTTCTGCGAGTTACCTGTGGCGACGCTCTGCCCTAAATCCCTAAACTCCCAAACCTAAACCCTCCATAAACCCTGAAGCAGCTGGGGGTCTTGTTCAAGCACATCCGTGAGGATCGCTTCGGCCTTCACTACAGCCAGGCTTTGGAGCTCGAGTCCCTTAGGCCCGGAGATCCTAAAAATCTCAACGAAAGCAAGCTACTATCATCATATGGGTGGTTGTCAAAATTATGGTCCCGTTTTGGGTCCTTATTATAATGCGGCACCTAATATTTAGGGTACCCCAAAAAAGACCCCCAATTTTGACAACTACCCATATTCATTTCTTGTCCTTACTCGTATCATTACCATTACTCATGCCACCTGTAACATAACAGAGCATTGCATACTGTTACTACTATTCTTCATACCTCTATCAGGATTATGATGATTATCCATGATGATAGTAAAATGCAGCAGCCACTTCAATTCAACAGATCTATGGAGGCAATGTGAGGGAAGGTCGAAAACTCCCACTCATGAGCTCATGTACGACTTCGGGAAAACGCTTATGAAAGGTCCAACCTCAGGCTTCGGAAAAAAGATTCTCAAACACGGAGCCCTAACCCAGAAACCAGGAATGGCAGTTAAGCTCTATCAAAACCTTCAGTGCCAAACCATCAACGCTAAATCCCGAACCCTACGTATCCAAACTCTTGCTTGCAAGCAAAATACCATACAAAGCCTGTCTCCCGGTACCTACACCTCACTCATGGATCCCAAAACCCCCCGAATCCGAGCCTGGGTGGGGGGGGGGTTTGTGAGTTTTGAGCTGGGGCTTACTTGGGTTTGCTTTTCAGGCTCCAGTTTGGGTTCGTAATGGCTTACGTGCATTAAGAACCCTGTATTGTGGCTTGGCGAGGGCGGTCTCGATAGGAATTCATCCACAGCAACAATTGCTCAAAGGGTACTAAATGCCTACATCATAGAACGTAGGGTTTCGATACTGCGATTCATTGCTACGATTTGGGAAGTATCCCCCAAAACGTCACGTCCAAAGCGAACCCGATGGTCCAATCACTAGGTTTTTGGGATCAACGCTGAACGTTAGATTTTGCCCTACAGTGTTGAAGCACAAACTGCGGTCATAGGAGCCCAAAGCGGCTACAGTAGATGACTAAACCTCAAACCAGTTGCCATGATAAAGCCTAAAAGCTCCAATTGTCAACCGTCACCCCACAATCCCTCTCATCCCGAAGCCCCATAATATAAGCCCTAAACGCCCCGAAACTGGCCTCGTGATCGTCTGCAGCAGCCTCGGTCTGCAGGCGACGGGCGAGGACATCCGGAGACTGTTGCGCCTGCAATGGAGGAATCCAAACCCTTCGGGCTGGAGATTTCGTGCCGGGTTGAAGGGCTCAGGGGCTTCGAAGGGTACTTCGGTTCAGGGTTGAAGTTTACGGTCGTTGAGGGTTCGGGGGATTTTTGGATGCTTGAGGGGTCTAGGGTGTGGGCTTCTGTGTACTCACTTCCAAGCTTTCGCAAAATGTCGCAGGCCTCAAGCGACCAAAACCCTGCAACGGGAGTCCAGAATTTTGAGGACACTGTCAGGGTCTGTGAAAGGGTTTCACGCCATTCGTCTTGCATGATTCAAGCGTAGGATATCTTGCAAATTCTGGCGGGTTTAAGTTCGTTTGGAAGTTGCAAGACTCTGTGTCATCATGCGTACACGTTGGCCGCAGCAGCTGACCCCAATGGACACTTTCTGCTGCTCTCCTGGCAGCAAATTCCTCAAACTTGTTTTGTTGAAGTGGGTAAACGCAGCTTCAGAATGCGAACCCGATAAGACATCCCTCCATACATTAACGTTGCCAGTGCCGCCAGCGAAACACGTCAACTCCAAGCCCCACATCCTCAACCCTACGATGCGCTCTGCAGACTATACATTAATTCCTGCTAGACGTGGACTGCGCCGCCATCGGTCCTTCACACGGTCTCTTTCGGCCGCGAGGTCAAGGACACGGCTGCGCAAGGAGTGCGTGGAAGCAAGATCCTGCTCATACCTCATGGGCCAATCGACGAGGTATGGGGTCCAGAAAAGTGCGTCGTGTTAAAGGTGCGGTTATATAAGGCGAGGAGTCGCAGGCCGGGACCTCAAGCACAACGCCGGGGTGGTTACACTCTTACACAAAACACTCAACTTTCATAGTCTACCGGCCCCTCGTGCAACAATTGCAGGCACTATCAGTCGCGTCTTTCTGTCGCTGTGCGCAGAGCTTGCTTGAATCGTGTCAAGGCAAGTATTGCACGATGAAGGCGGGTTATGCCTGCTCTCGGTCATACACTACAAACTCTTGATGAACTTGGATGGGACTGAGTGGACGGCAACGACCTTTGATTGATCCAGGATTCTTGACCACAACCGAATCATAAGTAACACTGTTTTTGGTGGGAGGCTTCCTTGCTCCAAACCGGGTTTCGGATGCATGATAAGCATCGCCGAGCGCCACGCGGGCGATGATTAATGTCCGCTCGCATCGGCAAGCAGAAGCCCTGCCGAACATATACGCGCATGAACATTGATGGCTTTTGCATGCGGAACGGGAAAAGTAAACTCCGTCTCCGTACATACCATTAGTACAGGTCCTGTGGTCGAATCCATGACGAACAATAGAATCAGCATTGTTCGAGGAGGTGCCATGCAGCAATATCTTCTCGTCGACGTCGCATGCCAATGGCTCCCCGCCGTCCAGGTCGCGTTGGCTGTCAGTCATTACCCCCTCACGACCATCAAGATCAAGAGCCACAGGCTCCAAATGAAAACTGAGCCTGCGCTTTGCACGGTCTTCCCTCATGGTACGCAGCCTCGCTTGGTAGCGTCGTCACAGGTGGTAGTTTACAATCCGATGAACAAATGTCACGGTTGCTGTCTTCATCCGCTCCTCCGGTGCCGACATCGCAGGTTGGACCCATGAAAATCCCATGAACACGGAAGTGCTCCCTGTGACACAAAGGGCGGTGCCTGTCCTGTCAACACCTCCTGCTTCCGGCTTTAAAGTGGTGTACATGCGGGGGCTGCAGAGTCTACCTGTCATTCTAAATTAATGCTAAAGCCGAGACCCCCAACTCCGCAACCCTAAACCGAGCAAGGAGACCGTCCCGATCAGCTTGTATCCGCTCCAGGCCTGATTTCCCAATCAAGGGCCTTCAGAGCCCCACACCGACACCCCGAACCCTGAGGACCATTCATCTCAACATCTTCGACTTGAATTTCGGGCCCAGACTGAAGGTAGGTCTCCCGGAGCTTTTTTTTGGAGCGTCTCTGGCTCCCCAAAACGACTTCGAAATCTCAAAGGCAAGAACACTGGCGGCGACTTACATCTCAGACTGAGCTTCCGAACTCTCAACATCCAAGCCAACTGCGTTGCACGTTTATACAGTTAAGCCGTCCCCGCTAGGAATTCCAAAAGCTCGGATGCCGCAGTACACAGAGGGAGCCCAGCATCATGGGGATCAGCACTTAAGACCCTAAGGCCCAAGCGCTGATCCTTAAATCCCCTAAACCCTGAAACCCGTAAGCCCCTTGAGATAAGCGGCTGCTGGATCAATCCCTGCACACCCTCTTGGCGCAGGAGGAGCTCCTTCAGTTCTTTCCAGCTCTTAGAGTCAGAAGCTTGTTATCAGGACTGTCTAATATAGGGGCCTAAATAACTACCAGCACTTATTTTGTTTGTTTTGGGGGGTCCTTATTATGGATATATTGTACAGCATACCCCAAACACTATTCTATTTAAGGCCCCTATACTAGGGCTTCAAGGTTGTAGGCTTTGTAGGGTTTAGCTTCAGAGCACACCTCCCTAAACCCTAAACCCTAAGTTCGGGGACGCCTCGGCGCGCTTGGCATTCTCTTGTGACAGCTCTCGCAGCTGTCCGATGTAGTCCTGGACACCTTCAGTATTCGCAACACTGTAGACGTATGTGTATAAATAAATAAATAAATAAAAAAAAAATATATATATATATACCACCTATAGTCTGTATCATGTATATATATATATATGTATTTCATATGTGTGTGTATATATATAGTTATAATACATATATATAGTCGAAGATATGTGCGCGCTTGGAAGCAGGTTTCGTGCGAAGCCCAGGCCATGATTCTGCCTGGAAGGTCTTGGAGCAGATCTCTTTGCAGAACCTCATTGGCTTTCAGCTGCGCCAACTCCTCCTTGCGGCAGTGCTTCAAGGATCCTGGGACTTAGTAGCTAGAACTAGTATTAGGGCGACTATACTTATAAGGAGATACCCCAATCAAGGTACGTATAAGCCTTTCTTACGTATTAAGTCCCGTGATCCTCCAAGTAAGGTTTGAGGGTAAGGGTTTGGGGTTGAAGGTTGCGGGTTTTGGGGGGGTTTGGTTCCACGGTTCAGGTTTTGGGGTTCGAAGGATCGATGGTCGAAACATGTGGGCCTGACGTTATACATTATTGTTATCCACCTCAATACATACGAAGGATAGGACTGGCTCGGTGGATGCGGCTGTTCTACGGTCTGCTGCGCGAAAACTCCATCCACAAAGGTCTCAGCAAGCCTCGCCCGACACCTGCACACGGAAAGAGACAGGGGAACGAAAAACACGCTTTTTCTAAAAATCGGTCGCCTGAACTGCATGCTCAAAAAGTCGGTATGACAAGAAAACACAAACATGCACCCTGTCTAGTGAGTCCTGTGTGATCAGGGTTTCATGTTCCGGTTGGACCCCAACCTCAAAGAAGCCTTCATCTAAGGCTAACCACACCCCGAAACCATCCTAAACCCAAAACCAGGCAGACCCTTACAGGGCACTCTTAGAGGAAGCCTCAAAAGGATCCCTATCTTAAAGCCATACAAGCCCGTGAAACAATTTCTTTGAGGGAACCCTAAAAGGAGCCCTTACGGGCACCCTGAAGGGATCCCCGAAAAAAAACCCTTAAAGGAACCCTTACGGGCATCTGAAGGGAACCTTCGATGGAACCCTTCGAGGGAACCTCCAAAAAGGAACCCGTGGCCTGGCTCAAGCGTACGAGGTTCGGGAAGGAGGAGGGAAGCGAAGGAGCCGCCGGGCCCACCCTTGCAGGCCTTCGAGGGCTTTAGAGGGCTTAGGGGTGCACGGGTTAAGGCTTTTTTCGGCTTTTGGGTATCGGATTTAAGGCTGAAGGATCTAGCGTTTAGGGTTTGGGGATTAGGTTCAGGGGTTGTTAAACCTCTGCGTTATTCAAGCTCATTACTTCGCTCGAGAGGGAGCTTAGGGTTATGATAAACATTATAGTGTTACACTAGGTCACTAGGCAGAGGCTGCAAGACGGCAAGAATGTTGTTGCACGCCAGGAACGAAACACATGCAAGGTTTACCTACGATACCTAACCCGTTACTTCGCACATTCCCTCTGGATAGCACGTCAGTTCGTGCAGCTTACCTGGAGGTTGAAGGATTCAGCGGGCTCTGACACATCACATTAAACAACACAAAGCCTTGCAGGAAACAACATCACCCCTATGCTTGGACCTCACACACCACCGACTGCTTCAAGCCCATCCCTTCCCTTGCAAGGCATCACTGGGTCCCAATAAGCCCGGGAAGCAGAAGTACGATTTCCATCCTTCTGCACGCTTCAGACACTTCCTTGGGAAAGTGGGCCGGAAAGCCCAGACTATTCCAACGACAGAAGCTGCCTCCTGCTGCTCCCTGTCATCATGAAGGTCAACTCCTGTCATCGTCAACCAGTATTCACCATCGAGACTGGTGAAGATCCAGTCGTCGTCGTCATCGTCATCCTCATCATCACCATCATCACCATTAGCATCACCACTCTCATGGTCAGCCTGGTGTCAAGATCAGTGCCAGCACCAGCTACGGCACCCATTGCCAACACCATGAATGAGCAGAAGCATCATCATAAAACTTCTCTTGAACATGTTGCATCGCCCGTTGTTTTCATCTTCTGCGTCTTTTTGCGGTCCTCAAGTACATGAGTATGATAATCACCCACTCCATGAATCTAGCAGTCTTGCCAGAAATACTCTGTTAAACATCAGCTTATGCTGCTATTTCCACATCAGACGCAAGCACGTGAATCCCAGTATACTTTTTGTCACCTACCTGCCTGTCCGGTTCCAATGGTGCGACTTCAGCAACTGCTGGCTCGACGACCAAAATCAAGGCGCTGTAGCACTTCCCCTGTCGCAAGCTGAAGCTTGCAGTGCTTTGGGTGCTTGACTCTACTCCCTATTCACCATCACTGAGAGGCCTCACGAGACTTGAGAGTCGAGCCTCGAGCAGAGAAGGGGCAGTACATCAGGACATCTTGACGCAACTTCAACACTTGGCACTACGTCTTCATCCGAAGCCCCGAACTACTTCGTACATTAAGAATCGAATTTTGCTGTCCCCACACCATCCAATGCCTGAGCTGCCTATCAAAAAAAAAACAACTGAACCCCAAATCCTGGAGCCAATAAGCCCTGAAGCCTAAACCCTGAAACCCAAACCCTGAACCTTGAGCTCCAACCTGGTTGTGTGACCAGAAATGGTTCATCTTGCCATCAGACACGTTGATCTTCCCAGGCTCCTTTGGATGAAACAGGGTACTCTTGTTTCTTGTTTTTTTTGGGAGGGGTTCAAGATTTAGCCTTTGGGGTTTAAGGCTTCAGGGGTTTACTCCAATCTTGTTTCGGAAAGTCGCTTTTATTCAGCTATAAACACGTTTTGCCTTTTGCTGTAGTGTCATTTGCAAAGGCTTCTGTGATTTCAGCCCTTTCTTGTGAGGGATTTCGGACGCAGTTAATGTACATTGGAAGGCGAGCTAAAAAGAAGCACCCCGAGGCCCCAACAGCATCCAGCAGCACGTGCTTGCAAGTTGACCCAAAGCTTAATGCAAAACGATCTAGGGTTCAGGGTTCAGGGGTTTGGAGCTCTTTCATTCTACAGCCTCAAGGATTCAGAGCTCTTTCGCCCAAGAGTCGCCCAAAAGCCTGTAAACCCACTCCGAGTGACCAAGCTCGAGTGCCCCACAAAGACGAGGCCGTCAGTTGGCGTTTGGCCACCCGCCACAGCATGTGCAGGAATGGGGTCACCCTTGTTCCTGACTTGGTCATGGTGTCTGAAACTAAAGAGCTGGCAATCGATCTGCTTTCCCTTGAGGGCATTCCAGTATATAGTAGGGTATGTAGTATGTAGTTCGGACTTGGATGACCCCTAGGGTTGGGACCTTTAGTATAGGCTCTGGTATAACGAGCTTTGTCATATAGGGTCACAACATGCTGAAGGTGCCATGGCGTTAAACTTGGAGCTTCCGGTGTGTACAGATTGTTTTCTAGTTGAAGCAGCCCTAAGGTTTCGGGCTTTTGTTTTTCCGTCTGCCGACCACATGTCTCCACGAAGCTCGGAGAACCAAAGCACTGAGGTCTTCACAGACAGAATATCTTATTATTTTTTAGTATATGTATGTTATAGTATACCATTAGTATGATACTATTTGATCCCTTCCCTGTTTAAGTGCGTTTAGAGTCTAAGCTTTCGGGCTTTGGGGAACGACTGGGGCTTGCGTAGATCAGGGTTCAGGGCTCACGGTTCTGACACAAACGGACCCGTAACTCATTGGAAAACAAGCCCCGCTCTAACCCCTCTAAAAAGAGCACAAAGACACAACACAAAGACGAATCACGAAAACACAAGCACAACCCCACACACACACACAGACACACAGACACACACACACACACACACACACACACGCGCACACACACAGACACACACACACACACATACACACACACACACACACACATGCGCATACAC